GAGTTCACGATCAGTGTCCAGTTCACTGCTAACCATTGCTAGAGTTGCGCTGATCGGGATATCGGTGGATAAACTTGTCACATCAAAACTAGTCAGTCTTTCATCCTCCTCAGTTTGAATTTCACCTAGATTTCGCTTCATTACGTATGAATTAGTTAGACTAGAATCTGACTGATCTCTAAGAGGACGTAATATTGATGAATAACAATCTTGATAATAACATTAATCTCCTCATATGGACATGTTTCAGTATGTTCATTAACTTTAGTGATATAATCTGATCTGTCCACAATTACCACTGAATTACTCTTGTCTGATTTGGCGGCTACCATTCATCTGTCAGTCCTCAAAACTCTTTTGAACAGTTGTTTCTTGCTGTGATAAGTTCTTTCTTGCATTCTTATGATATTCTGATGTCAGTGTACATTGTGCTCTGAATTACTCGGTGGTCGTTGTATCTGTTTCGCTTAATACTACTTCTACACTAGAAATGACATCCTCAGGCACTGAAGTTGAATCCTATTTCTAGCACTTTGATTTCATCAGAACTTAATGCTCTTGTTGTAATCTTGATCACTCACTTTGTTTTATCGCCGGTTGACGCTTAACTTCACGCGAATGTTATGAATGTCATCCTACCTTTTTGTGACATAGAGCTAAATTTTAACTTCTCATGGCCATTTTAAACAATATTATCAGTAAAAACACAGTTTTTGTTCAGCGAAGAAATTTCTTTTCAACGACTTCATTTTCAAGCTGTACAGTCGTATTTATATTACAGAAAAGGTCATTAAGTGGCACTAAATAATTGCTCAGTCAATATACATATATAAGTGATAAGAATAACGATAATTAAAATGTTATAAGGGGTAGAGTTGAAGTGGATAAATTACAAAATTATTAAAGATTGTTTTATAAGTGAATTGAAATCAAAATGTTTTTAAAAATGTCAAGTGTTGTCTAAAAATTTTATGAAATAAGAGTACGATTACGATAAGAATGAAGATGTGAAGTGAAGTGGAAAGAACTCAAGTGGTAAAATAAAATAAAGTAAAAACTAGAAAGAACATTACTATGACCAAGGTAAAGAAAGGGGTTTGATAAAACGTTTTTGAACACATAATTTAGGTTTCTGTTCATGTATAGCTAAAGCTTCGGCTATGCATAAGTGAAGAAAACGTAAACTTTTGGATCGATTCGATTTTGCCATGGAGATAACTTTGAAAGATGAATCACGTGGGGCCAAATGACCTGACTCTAACAGGTGATCACAGATAGACGACTTCGCAGTTCTACGTTCGCCTTTCATTAACCAGACTGGATAGTGTTCAGCTACACGTTTTCGGAGATTACGCTTACAACGTCCAATATAAACAGCTCCACAAGAGCAGGTAAAAGAGTAAATACACATGGATGTGGACAAAAGCGGTAATCTATCCTTGACGCATTGTCTAATCATATTTTGGCTGGTAAAGACTAGTTGTAAGTCAGCTGCAGGAAAAGTACGTTTAATACATTTAGATAAACGATTTTTAATCAATTCCGAAATAGTGTCACCTTTGAATGCCAGACTCATAAACAGTTTCTTCTTTATCAGTGGCATTTTCAAAAGGATGACTTTCCTTAACAATATAAACTTCATATTCACCACTTCCCCAACCTGTTGTTTAGCTGTTTCTTTAATCATCCTAAGATGTTTCCTAACTGTATTAGGTTAGGCATTAAATTACACACTGAGAAAACCGTGGAGTGATATCATCTACCCGGACGCCAAATACGAAACAATGAGTTGGGCGTGGGTCTGAGAGTAATATTAAGGAGATCGTGTGAACGGAAGATGAGAGCACATAGGCAATTGGGGGACCAGCTAAAGAGCATTGTAGAGAACAGGATGAAATACAGATGTGCTATTGAAGCCCCTTGTGTTCCACTTGGAACCTGAGGGAATAATTATAGTGTTTCAAAAATTATTGTTTCAAGAGGTACCAGTCACACAGTTATGATTCAAAATTGATACACCTCCTCCTGACTTACTGGACTCCTTTTCTGCCCTCTACAATTAGGCCTAACTTCTTGAAAATTACATGTCCTCTTAAAATCAATTTGTAGGTTGAAAAATTTAATCATTCTAAACAATTACGAGTAGTTTTATAATTCATCAGCAGTATATTAATCAGCGTATCTAATTTGTTTCACAGAAAATCAGTCATATTCTGAATAATTCAGCGATCAAATCTCTGGTTACAGCATTTAGCGACAACGGGAAATCAGTCACTGATAATTGTCAGTAAGCAAAACACCCAGATCCAGAGTTACCTTTCAACTATCTTCAACATTTCAACATCATGAAGAAAATAAGAGACATATTCGGCGAATAAAATTTTCTTTATCAACGAAATCATCTTCAGAGGCTGTACAGTCGTATTTATACTTACAAAAATATATAGTGGTCTATTTTTGAGTAATAGGGGGTGACATGATTGATATAATTACTCAGAAGTGGCTTTAGAAGTGAAAATTAAAAGTTGTAAATTACGTGGTACTCAACGGAACAAAGATAGAAATTTGATAAGGTTAAAATTGCTATTGAGTCAGAATAAAGGTATTTGAGTGTCAATTGCACAAGTGTGAAGAGGGTGTGAAAATATACAAAAGGAGCATATGAGAGTGATAATAGTGAATTAATTATTAAAACAAAAGCAAACTAAAAGTAAGATTAAAAATTACAAAATAGAAAAGAAAAAAATCAAAATTTTTTTTAACAGGGAACAATTAGTGAGAAGGTTAAGACCAAGGTAGAATAAGAGACTGGAAAAACTTTTTCTGTATACAGAGTTCAGGGTTGTATTGATGAATTGCCAGTGCCTCCGCCATACACAAAAGCCGAAACCTGACGCCCTGTGTACCATTTGGCTTCACTTTGTAGATGATCTTGAAAGACGACTCTGGTCGAGCTACATGGTCTGAGTTCACCAAATGCTCGAGAATTGAGCTAGTAATTGTCCTGCATTGTCCTTTTGATAACCATGACGGATAATGTTCAGAGATGCGTTTAGAAAGTGTGCGGTCGCTTTGTGCGACCAATATAACTAGCTCCACAGGAGCAGGTGAATTTATAAACACACAATGAAGTGGCCCAAAGCGGTAGTTTATCCCTCACGCATCTGTTGATCATTTGTCGGCTGTAGAAATTGATACGTAGCTCAGCCATAATGGGTATTTTCGGTGATTTCAACATCACTTCAAAATGAACACTGAGGGGACAGTCTCCCAAATTGCGTGACGTTAGAGCGAAATCTAAGGACAAAATCACGTCACCTATAACGAATAGACAGAATTATCTTGTTTAACCTCTGCTAGTCAATCGATGTAACCCTCACAATTTATTTCACTCACTTGTATGAATTCATTTTGTTGAAAAGACTTTCTTCCTCGACATCTGTACAAACCTTTACAAAGAATCCCCCATTTACCGTCCATAACAATTCGAGTTAATTAGTGACATTTTCAAAATAATTTAGACCATGTGTATAAGTAACCATTATATTCAATGGTACATCATGCTTGAATACAACGCTTTCTGTTAAACAAGTCGAATCTACATTACACAGGGAAAATCCTTCATGAAGATCGTCTCGTTTCTATCGTCATGTTTGTGATTTGTGGTGTTTCTCAACTCTTCATCAGATAATTAGAAAGTCAACTAACTGTAGTTGTCATTACTTAAATCACATCATGTCCTCTTATAAACATTCTACCTAAATTCCATTGAAATCATACAGGGCAATAAATAGATATGAAACCATAAACAAAGTTGCGTAATACCCTGATCACATTTGTTGGCTGAGTTTATTTCAGCCTATCTGACCACAGACAGGCTATTTTATTCAAAGATGCCCGTTACTTTAATTCACCCCAGTGTGATTCATTTTGAAAAACCAAAAGTGGAAGGTAAAGGGAATCTTATCGATCCAGTATAAACGGACTGGCTGTCTTGTCCATTAATTGAAGCATTTATCGAACAGGTTTCATATGTGTATAGGAGGGAGGGGGAGGGTCACGACTAGTCAAGCATTCATTGGTTAGTAAATGAGTGAGTGATGATCACTTTGAATTATTTAAGTTGAATCAAAAGGAAAAGGTCAAAAATGTAATCAATAACTTTTGTTATTACTTTTGTCATTCTTTTTGATGAAATAACAAGTAACTCTCAGTCCACTGACATTTTCACTATTCAATCTATTCCGGATATTATCACACTTCCAAGCGATAGCTGGTGTCGAATTGTTTGCACAGAAAAACTGAAGTACACACTGACTACTCGTCGAAGAATTCATGTAAGTTGAAATAATTTGTGTATATGTCTAGTCAACCAATGTATTGATTGTTTCTAAGCATTCTTAGCACAAAATCTCCCCTTGTTTTTATGCATAATTTGATATATCGTTGTCATGAATACTGCCTTCAACAGATTTCCCTAATTTTGTGTTCCCAATTATTTATATACGTATCTTATAGTCTTCGAGTGTAACAAAAATCGACACTAGGTTAAACAGTATCTACAATTCACCCTTGCAAAACCACAGCTTCCAACTGACAGCTGGAAATAAAATGTTAGTCACAATAAGAATTCGGTTGGTCGGAGACAAAGAGGTTTAAAAGAGCGAAAATCGGATACCCATTTCATCGTGATATATAAGTCCTAGGCAATGTACATGCAGTGAATATTATGCACTAAGTCCCTATATTAGATAAGTTGCTAAGATACCACTAAAATGAAATCCAATAATCTGGATATACTAACTAAGTGTCCTGATTTTGATTTTGAAAGTAGTGGATGTCAGCATCACCTCTTGATTCTGCACCGAACAGAAATAGTAGTCATATTTTCACTTGTTCCACATCCTTTTACGTGTTGATCAATGTTAGAAGTCATTCACATATATAATTTTAAAGTTAATGGTCTGTATAACTACTGTCTTTCTTTTTAGTTTAACAACATGGAGGCATCTGCCACATCTTGTCAAGATAATCAAGTGATGACAGAGCAGCTCAGGTCCTTACCAAACTGGAAAAATAAAAAGAGTTGGGAAGTTAGTCTATTCGAGTGTAAATCAGTAAGACTGGCTGTTATGTCTTGTCTATGTCCTTGTTGTGTTTTTGGAAGTATAAGTCAAGATTTCGGCTATTCTTGGTTTACATTTTGCTTTCTGTATTTCTTCACATTGATTGTTGCACCTCTCCTGTGGATAAATGTACTGCTAGGATGTTGTTGGCGTAAAAAATTGAGACATATTTATCGTATCAAAGGTAACATCATCTTTGATCTGTACGCCTACCTGTTCTGTTGTCCGTGCACACTGTATCAAGCGGCAGGTCAAATTGCAATTGAACGTTATAGAAAGCTAAAAACCACCGGTCGGAAACTTCATCCTTATGCTTCGGGGTTCTTTCGGAGGATGGGTCATAGAATAATCAAACTTTATAAGATTCCAAAAGATTTTGAAGATGTTCCATATGATACCCAGTCTCTCTTACCTATATATCTGCGAAAGCGAAATAGTGCACAAGTGGCTCAAGAAGTCCAGTCAATACAAATATCACCGCGAATTGAAAATCCAATAGTAGTATCACAGCCACCAATTTCTGATGCACACTCCAATAATCTCCCCGTGTCTCAAGGTCAAACTAACTCACAACTACATGAGACTCAAAATCCCATGAAAAAGGCTGTAATACATTCAGAATCGATTGATCCAATTATGCACGTCTAAGGTGGATAGACAACTAATCATTTGTGCAAAATGATAAAGTTTCAAGTTTCCACATTTAGTAATTGTCTGAAACAGAAAATTCAGAAACCAGTATAAACTTTTGTGTACAAAACTTTCTTTGTTTAATAAAACACCTGGTTAACAAAATTAGTTGTGTGCTGTTGTAATCATTCAGTTAATGTTAGATGAGTGAATGAAATCGGAAGGAAGCTCTGAATTCTAATGTCTTATTTATAAGTCGTAATGGTATAAATAATAGTAGTAGCTCCATTCATAGCCTAGTCGAAGACTACGTCAAAGTAGTAATAAAAGCAGCAGAAGCAGTAGTATTGTGGTGAGAGGTGGCTGAGAACAGGCCAAAATTGTAGACAACAATTGATGTCAGTGTTGCGCCCCGAATCAGGGTCTTGAGAAAAAAAATAAGAAAGCTTAACCTTGGGGAACTCACCAGCCAATCAAAGCAAATCCTTTAAAATTATCAATAGAAAAAGGAGCTCCATTCTCCTCAAGTTTACCGAAGCAATTTCTATCAAACGCTTCAAACCAGATTTATGTGTTCAGAAAGAAGCAGTTATTAGTCTTTCTTTGCCGTGGTAACTGGATGTCTTTATTCTCTACTCTGATTACGTAATCTTTGTCTTTAACCTCACTCCTCTTTTTTTATAATCTGTAATATTGCTTGTCTCTTGTTTCTATGACGTGATTTGAACTCAGCACATCGTTACCAAATTTATTAGTTACTCATCATCTTACTCACCTCTCGTCTTTATTACGTAACTCCTTTACCATTGTATGCATACATTTATTTTGACTTGAACTGCCTGTGTAAAAACTATATAAGCACAATTTTCTGAGCACTTTTCACTGATTGTGGAACTTTCTGTCAACTGACAACATGTAAAAATTTGCAAGTATGTTAAAACTTTTCTGTACCTTAACCTCACAATTTATTTAGGCTGTAAGCAGCTGATGAGAAGCCAACGAAATAAATGATGGTACCATATTATTCTGCACAAGCCACTGTTGTTCTTGCTTTATTTAAATTCATCAAGGGGAATAAATGCATGAAGAATCACAGCAAAATTAACGTGTGCAAATACGATTCGCAGATATATGGCTCATCTTTTTGAGGAACAGCCACAAGCATTACAGAATAACCTTCAGCAGGAAAACAACCAATCAGAAGAAGTCGTTTTTCTGCTAACAATAATGTACATAAAAATCTATATTTATCTCCTAATTTTCTCAATGAACGATTTGTTGCCTAGCCTCTGTCTTCTGTCGTTACAGTAGTAGTAGTATGATCATTATAATAATATATCTAAGTTACTTAATGTGGTTTCATAGTGAAAAGAATGTATGAAACAGCAAACTGTTGAACGTAACAAGTTCAACAAAAGTATAAATGGGAAATAGCTAAATTCCGAACTAAAATACGCCATTATAATGTGGTTTAAGCAATGACGATGGTCAGACTTATTACCTCTCCTGCTATACTAAATGATTCATCTGAAAGAATTTAGGTGGGTCACTCAGTAGGCTATTCTCAAAACACAATCTTGATTCATTGCAAAAGCATCTAGATTATAATACCTCATCTGAACATAAGAAACAAAAAGTGAAGTAAGAAAACGCACAGACAGATAATTTAAAACAATTTATGAATCACCGAATGCATTTCACAATGATGAAGTGATAAAGCATCATCTACTTAATGTTTGATTATTTTGAATAGAGCAAGAACAACAGTGGTTTGTGCAGAATAATATGGTACCATCATTTATTTCGTTGACTTCTCGTCAGCTGCGTGCATACAGCCTAAATAAACTATTATTAAGTTCATATACAGATAAGTTTTAACATACTTGCAAATGTTACATGGTGACAGTTGACAGGAAGCTCCAAACTTTGTGAACAGTACTGAGAAAATTACCCTTATATAGTTTTTTCTCAGAGAGTTCAAGTCTAAACAAAAACCAGTATTAAAAAGACAGTTGCAGCGAAGATAATTTTCTTTTCGACGAAGCCATCATCTAGGCTGTACATTCGTGTATTTATATCAAATGCATATACCAGTTTACTTGCTCTTGTGGAGCTGAGTACATCGGCCATACCATGCGCCGACTTGGAAAAAGCGCTCGCGAACATTACCCAGTCTGGCTAGTAAAAGGAGACCAAAAACGTGTATGCAGTTCAGTGACAGAACATCTGGTCAACTCAGGACATTCAGCGCCTTTCGAAAAATCCTTCAAAGTAATATACAAGATTCAGTCAAACCTAACAAAGGGAGTCAAATCAAGACATCTGGGCATAGCTGAGGCGCTAGCTATCCAAAAGCTCAAACCCCACGCTTTGTATCCAAAAGAATTACGTCCAACCCCTCTCCCTGCTATGGCCATCATAGACAGGTAAAAAAATTTTTAGTAATGACAATCTCATCGCCCTTCTTATCTAAACTTCCTGTTTATTCATGTTATTTTAAGTTTTTCTTAATCCCTGTCTAAACTACCATATTTTCATATCCACTCTTCCTGTTTATTTTGTCATTTTACTATTTCTACATATTTAATCCCTGATTGCATAAACAATTATTCATCATATTAGTTTTTTATCCAAACATCATGTATATTTTGTTATTTTTACATTTCTAACCCCCAATTGCACAATGTCAATCTTCTTAGTTATTATAATGCTACTTTGTTCGAGTTTTATCCGCTCCCCCCCCCCTGTTTATTATGGCATTCTAATTCCTAATTGTAATTTTTATTAATTTGACCCTTAACCGGAAATTATTCTGGAACTTTCCCATCCATTTGATATAAATACACGAATGTACAGCCTAGATGATGACTTCGTCGAAAAGAAAATTTTCTTCGCTGCAATTGTTTTTTTAATAACTCCTATGAAAGCCAGTATATGCATAAAATGTTAAAAGAGTTACGTAGTAAAGACGAGGGGTGAGTAAGATGATCAGTAACTAGTTAATTGAGTAACAATGTACTGAGGTCAACTTAAATCACAGAAACAAGAGACATGCAAAATTACAATATATCAAGGGGGTGAGGTTAAAGCCAAAGATTACGTAATCAGACGGAAGAGAGAACAAAGACATCCAGTTACCAGGGCAAGGGAAGACTGACAACTGATTCTTTCTGAACCTATAAATCGGGTTTAAGGCGTTTGGTGGAGATTGCTTCAGCAGTCTTGAGGAAAACTGAGCTTTTTTGTCTACAAATAGTTTTAAACGATTTTGAGATTTCCACCTCATGATGTTTGGTAATGGCACTATGGTAAGCGTTTGTTCCCTTGAGACGTAGGCTTTTCTGTGCATTTTCAGAAAATTGAAGGTGTATCCTTCTTTCTGTTCTCCCAGTGTAACTGCTCCCGCAGATACAGGTAAATTTGTACACACAGTTGGAGTTAACATGAGAAGGATATTTGCCCACTTTTGACCGCACCAAGGAGTATGTTGTCCGATAGATAGGAATAAACTTAGCTAGCTGAAGGATAGGCTCTGGCTAGTGGTGTACTCAATCTTCTGTTGGCTATTGCTGCAATATTTTCACCTTTAAAATCGAGTTGAATGAAGACAGGCTTCCTTACCACTGTGATTTGTTTGGTGTTTGAGCCTTCACATCTTCCAGATTTGTTAATTAATCTCTGAGGGTGACCGTTGTTTGTCAACATTTTTTGCGAGAACCGTAAATTCTTCCTCTGATTTCTCTGCAGAGAATATTCTCCTAGCTCTATAGTACAGAGTCTTGACTAGTGCTCGTTTGAAGCTATTTGCACAAAAGCTATCAAAATGTGGATATTTTCCATTCCATGTAGGCTTTCGGTATATTGACCTCTGGAGACTACCATCTTCTAGGTGTCGCATGGCAGTCTCGAATAAATGGAACTTTCCATCATTTTCATGTTCCATAGTTAATTAAATATTTGTATGCACATCGTTGAATAATCCGAGTAGGTGAGAGGACAGATGGCTGTTAAACAGTTGGATTCAGAGACTCTAATCATCTCCTAAGTTAGACAATTTCTTTTGTTCAATCCCTATCCTGATTGCCTTTACGCTTCGATTACGTGCTTTGAAAAAACTATAGCAATATGTGATATTACAGTCATCATTCAACAACCACAAATAATCAAAATACAATTTTGATACATAGACTTACTTTTTGGAACTCATCAGCTATGTGTATCTTCAGTAGGATAAAGAGCTGCTTCGGTTGTAGGTATTAGGTTTGTAAACCAACAAACAAATCATCTAGTTTTGGGACTTTCTGTCAGTTGCCTCCAGTCGGGTGATGAAAGGTAAAGTCTGCTGTGTTGTGACTAGTTTTAGATTTAAGTGATTAGGTTGCACACTTGGTAGACGGAATTCGATTCGTGCTAAGGACTTAATGACGCTAAATATTTTACTTTCTGTCTACAAGTCAGTATAGTCTGATAGAGTTTGTCGTGAACAATAATACTTCTCAAGGGATGCTCACAAGATTTCAGTAAATGAAATATCTCCATATTGAAATCAAAACAAGATTTTGAGCGAACAATTGTTTTCGATAACTTCTTCTTCAGGCTCTACAGTTATAAATCCATGAATAATAGAGTACATATAGCCAATAAAGGCAAATGAAAATAATATCAGAAACTGTATTGGGGTGCGTGTGTAAGTTGAGATGATAGTCCATTAGTTAACATAATCAATCAAATGTGTATAGGGTGTATAGTCAGAAAAATGTGATGAAGTGTGAATGAACAATTGGGTGATATAGTGCTGTTTTATAGTCAACAGACACAAAATACACACAAACACACATTAACAAGGGGGACACTGATAATGTCTAATGATAAAATAAAGAGGCTAAATAGTAAATTGTAATAAGATTTTACAGAGTTGGTAGGCTTAGTGTAAAATCACAAAGGTTGACAAAATTAAGGGTAACAATGAGGTGAAATAAACTGGGTGGAGAAATGGATAATAAAGACATGATATCACA